CTCTCTCTCTCTCTCTCTCTCTCTCTCTCTCTCTCTCTCTCTCTCTCTCTCTCTCTCTCTCTCTCTCTCTCTCTCTCTCTCTCTCTCCTTCTACATGTGAGTACCATGTGGTTTCTCACCTTACCAGCAATGTTTCCACTGACGGTATTCTTTTGGAACTGCATGATGCTCTCGAATAGCATACGGTGATCATTGCATATTTAATCAAGGATCAGACTGGTGCCTTTCTCAACATACTCTCAGAAAATGCAAGGGAGTTGCAATGGTCTGAAAATAGTCCATTAGACAGTTATGTCCTTTCACAATCAGAAATGTTTCAGACAACTTCTGCATCACACTTGCAGAAAACTTTCTCATCATTAATGAGTGTCATAAAGTTCTGTAGAATGGAGGCTTGTCAGACATTTATGTCATTTCAAGGGAACATGTGTGGAAAATCATGTAAGCTTGGTAGTGAAGGTGCAGACGACAGCCAGTGCGACAGTGAGACGTGTGGGAATGCAATTCAATATAGCATTATCTATCTTTTCCTACCCTTCTCCCTTCCTTTCTCCCTCCCCTTCTCCCTTCCCTTCTCCCTCCCCTTCTCCCTTCCCTTCTCCCTCCCCTTCGCCCCATCCTTCCCTCTACTGTCTTTGTTCGAATAGAACATGCGGTCATCATCCCTGTAATCTAGACTGAAAGGTGCGCCAAATACAGGTATAGTGACCATTCATTGTATTTGGGGCAAGATGGTAGCTAGACTGTAGGTACTATCATCTTCCACCCCAGCTTACTTGCCGTCATCATCTCTGCCCCCCATCATTATTGTCATCCTGTTCCATGGTACCCTGCGCAGGAGGTGGCTGGACCACAGGTACGAGTGTCCAGTCACGTCCATGGTACCCGCACCAGGACGTGTTCCATGGTACACTCTGTGTTCCATGGTACACTTGTACCTGCAGGAGGTGGCTGGACCACAGGTACGAGTGTCCACTCTGTGTTCCATGGTACCTGCACCAGGACGTGTTCCATGGTACACTCTGTGTTCCATGGTACACTTGTACCCGGGAGGAGGTGGCTGGACCACAGGTACGCGTGTCCACTCTGAGTTCCATGGTGCCTGCGACAGGACGTGTTTCATGGTACACTCTGTGTTCCATGGTACACTGTGTGTTCCATGGTACACACTGTTTCATGATACACTTGTACCTGTGTGCCAGCCACATCCTGTGCCAGCTGAGGAAAAGCATGCGCCCCACTTTTACGTGTGCTCCTATGCCGGCGACCCTGTGGTTGCGAAATCCACCCCATCTACACCCTTGCTTTCGTCTTTGTGTTCTGGCTTGTCCGATCAAAGTCGATGAGGATAATTTTTGCCCAGTT